GTTATTTTTAAAGTTAAGAAGAAATTCTGGACAAAAGGGACATTTTAAATATAAAAGGAACCTCAGGAAGATCACAAAGAAGTGAAATCACTATCACAAAGTTCAAAGACATATTTTTCTTCAAATACCAAGAAACTGACTTAAGTAGCTTTGGTGACCCTCATTCAGGGGAGACTCTCTAGCTCTTATGGAAGTGATGGATGTGAGGGCATTTCCCCCCCACCCCCTTTTCAGAAACTGCTGTTTTGGACCATTATTCTATTTTACTTTCTTGAGACTAATTCATTGTTGGGCATTCTCATCAAACACCGTTTTGTCTTCTCCTTGAATTGCTAAGTTCAACTTTTTTTTGTTTCTTTTTAGCTTTATTAACTTATTTTTTAAAAATAAATTTATTGGGGTGACATTGATTAATAAGATTATATGAGTTTATGTAGATTTATATGATGCATGGTCGGTCTGTCACATTGTGTGCCTGCTACCTAAAGTAAAATCATCTTCTGTCACCATACATTTGGCTCTCTTTTTACTGCCTCCCACCCCATTCCCTCTGGTAACTTTTTGAAATCAGTAGGGAGATGTTAACTGCAAGATAAATTGGCTGGTTATGTCAGGCATCAAGCCAGTTGACCACCAGTGTCAGTCCCCTGCCTGAGGAGGGGAGGTCTTGGAGACCAGGAATTGACTCCCATCTAGTTGGAAAGCTAGGGAATTTGTTTTAATTATGGACAAGAAATCAAGCTGATATTGTAAACTTACTTTAACAGGTAGCAGAAAGTCACATTCTAACCAGCAGTTTATGAGTGTCCTTAACACAGCACTGACAATCCTGGGTATTAAAAATGCTTTTCCAACTTGATGCTATAAAAATGTGTTTTTTTTTAATGTATATCTTGACTTCTAGTGCAGTTAAGAATTATATATATATTTTTTTAATCACATGTTTGCATTTTCTCTTCTTGGGAATTTGTGGGTATTCTCCAGCTGACAATGGCAGGCTTGCAAGTGGGACCCACATTATGTCATTTCCTTGTTATCCTTACCTTTTTCTTAAGCTCTATCCTCCTTTCAAATCTCTGCTTCCCTCCCCGAAGGGAACTAAGGAAACCATTAATTATTCCTTACCATTCTGGCAGGCCTCTAACGTCTCCTTTGGAATTATAGGCACCTGTTCATTTTCTTTTCCCATTTGGCTATTTCATAGTCTACCTTTTCCCTATCTATTTGATGTAGTTTAGTGCAAACTAGGCCATTTGCAATTTGCTTTATATAGTATTTGTTAAAAATATAGTCTATAAAAGTTACTTCTTTATTTAATAATCCAATTTGAATGAATTTTAAATTTTAATCATATTAACTATTTAAACAAATAATGCTATTTTAACTTTAGGTTTCTTCCTTTTTTTGCAGCTTTTAGAAATTTGATCTGTTTAACACATGCATTTTTAATGTTTCAATATAAGTTAACTGCAGAAAACTCACTAATGAATTTGATTTGATTTGATTACATAACAGCAAAGGAACTATAAAGAGTTAAATAACTTTGCCCTAGTTGGTTTGGCTCAGTGGACAGAGTGTAGGCCTGTGGACCAAAGGGTCTTAGGTTTGATTCTTGTCAAGGGCACATGCCTGGGGTTGCCAACTCGATCCCCAATAGGGGGCCTACAGGAGGCAGCCAATCAATGATTCTCTCTCCTCATTGATGTTCCTATCTCTCTCCTTTTCCTTTCCTCTCTGAAATCAACAACAACAACAAAATATATTTTAAAAGAGGAGTTAAATAGTTTTATATGCAAGGTTAAAACTTTCCCAACTCAGAAATGATATATATATATTTTTTTATGGAGGGTGGGGGGAGGCTTTCTCTTGAGTTTTATTTCAAAACCCAAATGGGATTTCAAAATACAAGTAAATAAATGTCAAAGCCTCTTGGCCTTTGCTCTGCCATTCTATGCCTGAACACCTGCCAACACGAAATTTTCCACTCAAGATGGCATTTGCTAAGCTGCTTTTTCAGGGACTCACTTTCTAAAGTAGTGGAAACTTTGTACAACTTCTGATGTCCCGCTGAGTGGACAGACTCTTCTGTAGACTCCCCCCCCCCCCCCCCCCCCCCCCACACACACACATTGGCAACATTTTCTGGAAAATGAACTTTCAGCCCATCCAGTGTCTTCAGCCTCTAGATCTCTTGGCTTTCCCAGTGCCAAGCCTAGAAGATAACCAACAACTAAACTAAAAGTTGGTGTCTCATTAAGTATCACGGTACAAACAGGACAAAAAGAGGACAGACAGAAGAGAAAGGGAGAAGAGAGAGGAGGGCTTGGTCCAACCGGTTCCCTTGCGGGAAGGGCGCATTCGTCTCACAATTTCACGCTGTTTGAACAAACCTGAGCTGTAGTGAGGCTGGCTGGCTGGTAATTCATATAACATACTTTTCTGTTACTGTTAAGATCAATTAGTTAAAGGCTGAGTGGGTCCAAGGGGGAACAGGGAGCCCCTGCAATACGTACCTAGTAAATGGGGGTTTGGTGCACTGCTGCAGGCTGCCAGTGGGTGGGGAGGAGGAGTGCTCTGAGAGGCCTGTGTGCGCGTGGGTTTGGGAAATGGAAACTAAAACTGTCAGCCAGCAAACCTGCAGGATTCCTCAAAGCTTTGAAAAGTTAACAGTAAATCGAAGGCAGAACTGAAAACTACACAACATTAAACGAGGAAAATAGAAACCCATCTCCTATTGGCACTTCCCAAAGCATGAATCAGAAGTTAACTGGTTTGTGCTTAAGGCTTTCACCCTGCTCTCCTCAATGCTCTCCCTGTCTCCTTTCGCAGCTTTTCTCGTAGTATGCAGTGCACCCTGGAATTATCCCCCTTTTGTGAGCTTTCCTTTCGTTTCGATGTTTCTTCCCCTTCTTGCTGCTCCCAGACTTAAGGCTCCTTTTTTTCCTCCTCTTCTAGCGTTTGTTTTGGGACAGGACGGAGAAAAGGTTGCAAATCAGAAAAAGAAAAAAAAAAAGTTTTGTGGTTGGGGAAACTTGGGCCTTTGTTGTGTCATTTCCCCCCCAGCCAGCCACTCCCCCCGACCACGTGACCAGGCGAGGCCGGAATTTTGTGAATGGAGCTGAGAGAGGGGCCGTGGGGGCGGGGGAGGCCCCGCCTCCTTCCTTAAAGTGGCCAATCCCTGAGCGGAGCGCTGCGGGGTCAGCAACAAACAACAATGGGCTGGGAACCGCGGCGTGCCATTGGCTGGGGCGAGGGCCCCAGGGGGGGAGCGCTGGCTGAAGCCTAAGCTCCGCCCCCTCCCCGTTACCCTGGATACCTGTGAGGCTCCAGCTGCAGAGAAGGTCTTTGGAAACTGTTGCTCAGATTACAGAGGCTGGGTTCTCCCCGGGAGTGCTGGGCGGCGGGACACCCCTTGCTATGGGCCCTCTGCCTGATTGCACCCTCAGACAGTACCCAGGAGCCCCCCTATCCCAGCCTCCAGGTCTGGCTGCACCCCGAAGCCCTCCCTGGCTGGGGTTCAAGTGCAGTTCCCGCTCAAAATGCTTGTAGGTGGTGCGCCTTAGCCCCGGCTGCTCTGACGGACTCCTTTCAGACTGCACTTATGTCCTTGCTGCCCCCATTTATTTCTCTAGCAATACGTCTTTCTAAAACTTAGTAAGAAAAAAAAAATTAAGCAGGAACCTCTCTCCTTCTGGTTGCTGTGGAGCCTTGAGGGCTCACACTCCATTTTCAATGCGTCCCCATACCGTTCCATGTAAGGAAGGAAACTTTCCAATAGAAAATTGAGAACTGAAGTAACAGCTGCAGGAGGCGTCCTTGGGTTTCTAGCTCTCTGGTCCCCAGTAAGGATCACAAGTGAGTTTCAGCGCTCCTGAGTGCCTGGTCCCATCCCCACGGCCTCCCCCCTGTCCTGTGGGGCCGCGGCTTCTTAAGCGATTCTGCAGCTCCCAGCCCTACACGAGGGTCAGGGCAAGTGGTTTCCGAGCTTTTTTTTTTTTTTTTTAGCCCTCACTTTTTTTTTTTTTTTTTTTTTTTTTAAAGCCTTAGTCATTGCCCTTGAAACTCGAGCATCCTCCCGGCTCGCTCCCCAACTCTCCAGGCTGTGTGGCTGGGTAAAAGCAGAAGAGGAAGTGGAAGCACCAAGTACAGTAAGTGACACCCTCTGTCTCCGTGTACACATAACAAAAGCGCAGGAAACGTGTGCGGGTCCCTGGGACATCCGAGCCAGCACGCCCCTCCCTCCCGGCGCCTCCCCACCTGCCAGGTGGACTGGAAGCTCCCTGTCCCGTGGGTACACGTGGGTGTGTTTGACTTGGAGACTTCTTCTCACCTGGATGGCTCCGTGGTCTCCCCAGTTCCCCTCCCAACGCAACCCCTCCCAACAAGCAACGTCTCTGCTTTCCCCAGGCACGGACCCCATCGATTCCTTCTTGTGCTGTCCCGTGAAGGACTTGGATCTTGCCTTCCTTGAGCAAGGCCGTTAAAAAATGTCTTTAATCAACCATAATGATGGTGGTGGGTGTTATAAGACCAACACAACAACACACATACACAACAACAGGGCAAACGATCTCGGGCCAAAAACTTAGCGGGAACGCAGCTCTAGAGCTAGTGGGCTCCCCATCAGGTTAAAGGGGGGAGGGGGGGGGCCCCCCGGGAAGGGTTAGGGGGCAGGAGACTGGCGATCTGGGGAGAGCGGAGGGAGGGGGAAGCGCGAGTTGAAGGAGGCAAGGGGTGAGTGGATCCCGCTTCCAGGTATGCACCTGGACCGAAAAAAACAAACAAACACGTGCATTAGCAAATCAGCCCAAGAATGGACCAGGCTCGCTAGGAAGGGGAGCTGGCGGCCGGGCACACATGGATTCCGGGTCCCCGGGCGCCTTCACCCTGCGAGGCGGGCTGGGGCTGGGAAGGCGGCCGGTTTCCTGCGTGGCGTTTGCAGGCGGGGGACCCTGCGCCCGCCCTCCGAGCGCCGCCGACCGCCGACCGCCCGACCGCCCCACCGCCCGCTCGGGCCGAGGGGCGCGGGGGAGCCGGGAGGAGCGGGGGCGCCAGCCGCCTGATTGACAGCCCGAAACCCGATCTTGGGAAAGAGACGCGGAGCCAATGGGAGGCAGCGATCCATCAGTTTGGCTTGGAGGCCCCTGGAGGAGAAGTAGAGGAAAAACCACCGAATTGAGCTCTTGTCAGAGGCGCTTTCGGCTTCCAAGGGGGGAAGTAGCGGGGCCATAATTAATGTGTGTTTTTTTTAAATTAAATTTGGAGGGGACTGTGTGCAGCGGTTCGCCCAGCGTGGCCTTCAGGTGGGTCTTTCCGGCAACTTTTTATGTCTCTCCCGGCGATTGCATGGCTGGTGGGTTGCAAAAACTGTCCTGATGGAAAGAGGTGTCTCCGTCTCTCTCTGGTCCCGTTAGGTGCAAAGCCAGTCTCTCTCGTGGATCGCCATTGCTAGTTTTGCACACGTTTGCGAATCAGAGCAACCGACCGCGGAGGGAAACACCGAGAGTGTAAATAAATACATCTCCTCTAGTTCGGATGTTTGCTACAGCCGAAAATATGTAAATTGTGAACTCTCTAGCCTTTCTCTCTCTCTCTCTTTTTTATCCAGGTGAAGGAGGCTGGTGTACTGAGGGTTATTTTTTTGTGAATGGGACAGTCGGAGGGTAATTAGCTATGCAAATTCAAGAGCTTCATTCATGGTTTTGTGTCCCCCCCCCTTCCTTTCAGCCTAAAAGCCATTTTGTTCCCCTCTAGGTTGATAGAAGTCCAGATCCCGAGGAAATCTGCAGCTAAATGCTCCAAATATAAAACACTGGGCTGAGATCTGCGAAGAGCAGCAGGATGGATGGATTTTATGACCAGCAAGTGCCTTACATGGTCACCAATGTGAGTGATCAGTTCCAGAGTTGCTGTTTATAAACTTGATGGGGGGGGGGAGGAAAAGGAGGGGGCAAGGAGGTTGGGATTGCAGATACTTTATCTGCTTTGTTGCCACTGTAGGGCGACTCTGCTTCTAGAAGCCCAGTCTTCACAATGAGCTTACCTTTCAGTGATTTGGATAAGGCATAGTTTTGTTTTTAAGACCTTCCCTTTTCTGATTAAAGGGCCCAAGATGAGTGGAAGAGGAGATGGAGGGCAGCAGCAGCTGCTGCACTCAAAGTTTTTGGCTGGGTTTGTCTGCCACATTGAAAAGAATGAAGTTGAGACAAATGCTGACACTTTCTGTTTACATGGGCTGTTTTTGTTTCTCTCTCTCCCCCTCTCTCATTTTCTCTTATATATATATATATTTTATTTCATCACTCTTCTTTTGTTTCCGATGGGGAGTATCAGAATAAAATCCATTGTATTTTAATCTAGTTTTGATCCGGTCTAAAATCATCGACTTTATCATTGCTTAATGCTGTTTTAATGCTGAGATACCATGGATATATGACTAGCAAATAGTACGTTAGGATCGACACTGGGAAGCTACTAACCTGGCTGTGAATTTTCAGTATAAGCTTTCCCTGTGAAATGAACATAGAAAATGAATACTAGAATCGATACCATAGACTTTGATTTTTATTTAGAGAGAGGATCCTCTAGACAAGTGTATGCATGCATGTGTATTTTTGTGTGTGACTTCTGAGGTTTACGTTCTTTTAAAGGATTTTTATCTTTCCCTTTGTAGAGTCAGCGTGGGAGAAATTGTCACGAGAAACCAACCAATGTCAGGAAAAGAAAATTCATTAACAGAGATCTGGCTCATGATTCAGAAGGTGAGGTTTGATTGGGGGGCAAATCCCTTCCCGTCTTTACAGATTATTGAGATCTGTAAGTCATAAAGAACAGCAGCAGTTCAACCTTAGCTTAGAAATAATAAAAGTTCAAATGACTGAATTTAACTAAGACTTTTACTTCGAGCAATTAACATCGAGTGACAGTTTGCACTGGGGGATCTCTTAAGGCCCTGTCACAAACTAGTGAAAGAAGAAAATAAAAAGTTAACAGAGGCATCCTTCTTTTATATGTAAAAACTCTTGTGCATATGGCATATAAGTAACCCCACACACTAAAGCAACAATTTTAAAAATCCAACCCAGTGGGAGCAATTAAGCAACTATGCAAAGTGCTTAATTGCTACTTTCTTCATTAGAAGTTAAACAATATAGATGATTATTTAATTTTTCCATCTCCTTTACACGAAAACCATATAAAGTTATAAAACTTTTCATGGATGATTTTGAAGACTCCATGGTGAGGTCCTATATCTTGTTTTATAGGTCTTCAAGTGTTCACTGCATTATAATTAAGGCCTAATTAATAATTGTAATACTTATTTGGAAAATTAGGTTCCAGATTCTTTTTATGAACTGTTCATAGGAAGTCAATCTATTATAAATTATTCCAGCCATATGGAAGCATTATTAATAAACTTAGATTTTAGTATAAAAATTCAGTTGGCTATTTAGATAAAGTAGTATATTGAATTCTGAAACTTCCTCAAATCCTCATAATTATAGGATACCTCTCTCCCTACTATGACAGAATGCAAAATTTTAGACTTGAAATACATAGGTGCAGGGAATTATCTTTCTTTGACTTTTGTAATCCTATTAATAGAGAAATTTTCCTCTAAACACTTGCATTTAAAAGTTGTTCCTTTTTTTCTTTGAGGCATTGAACCTGAAAAACATAGTACTTTGAGATTTATACCATGTATTATTATATCTCTGATATAAATACAATACCTTTCAGTCTTTCTAAACTTATCTCTATTTTACAAGAGTTGAATATATTTAGAAAAAGTTTTCCATGAACATACCTAAGCTTTTTTTGGAATCCTATTGTATATATGCTATTTGGTTTCCTGAGCTTTTTATTAAAAAAAAAAGGGGGGGGGGAGGGGGAGATATTGACTTTATTATGTAGTTGACCAGAAGAATTTCTTAAAGAAGTATTGCCTCATAACCACCAAAATGAGCAGGATTATTGAGATCTGTAAGTCATGAATTATGTTTTCTTATTGGACCCCCCCAAATTAAGTTGATATATGCAAGTTTTATGACAAACATTTCCATGTAATGAAACCTAAAGATTTGCAAATCTTTTATTCCTTTGACTTGTTTTTTTTAGAACTCTTTCAAGACCTAAGTCAATTACAGGAAACATGGCTTGCAGAAGGTAAGTTTTTTGTTTTGTTTTTAAATGCTTTAAAAGGAGGGGGAAAGCAACTCTAGAAGGGGGGGGGGGGAGTCCTGAACTTGCTGTCTTAATGTTCAGCCCAATTAATTGAGCTCTAAAAGAGCCACCTCATGTGTCATGCATACATTAGAGCCTCTGATGAGTTTGTCTTTGGGGAATCTGGGGCTGCACTACCCAGTGTCATCACAAATTACCAGGAGAAATTGCTTCCAGCTCACAATCACATCTGCTTTTGGCAAGAACTAATGCACCAAGACTTCAAGTTCTCAGCCTCTGTTCAGATTTTAATTGCAATTGATCAGGTTTATATTATTGTACCTCCAGAGACCTCCTAGAGCCAGAACCCGGCTAGCTGTTTCCTTTAGAGCAGCGCATATCATTATTTGGTGTTCTGGTGGAGGAGTTTTCTGATGGCAGAAATTAGTTTCTCTGGGCTCATCGGGACGGGATGCTTCAGGATTTAAGTGCCAGCGTCTTCTTCCCACCTTGCTCACAGCACAGAACCATAGGTGTGTATCCAATGCTTAGGAAATCTATGGCTTGAGGAGAAATCTTTGTGGCTCTGAGGAATTTTAAGCTGTTTTCTGTTTGTTACTGTTATGTGATGTTTGTTGAAACTGACCTTGGTTATGATGTTACTTTTATGAGGGATTTATTTAAGATAGCAAGGAGACGTTTAAAGGCATGGCTTTTATCTTTTTATTACTTTTCTAAAAAAAAAAAAATCTGTGTTGCAATCTATTGTACCTTGCATTGTGGAAACTTTACAGGCACAGTGAGATAGTGCTTCAGTACAGCTTGATACAACTTGGGAAATGCCTAATGGTGAGGGATTTTTGTCGGAATTCATAATTTGAAATTTTTCTTTTGGCTTTGTGAAATACGAAGTTTATCCTATGATGTATTTGGTGGAAAACAAAGACAATTATAGGTACTTAAGTACTGTGTATAATTGCTTTTTTCTCTTTTTTTTTTTTCTTTTTTCTGTCTTTACATTATATGGGATACATGCACTTTTTGGAACATATTTTTAAGATGGTTAAAAGAGGAGAGAGGATCTCTTTAAATGGAAGCTGAGTCTTTCTGTTGCTATTTGGGGCTGACTGCTGTGTTTTATCAGTGGTCTTGCTTTCAGTTGATCAAGTTGCTGTTAGCATGTAAAATAAGTTTCTTTGTTTTGCTGATATTCTAGTTCTCCAAAAAGCTTTTGCAATATTTTTTAACCTTTTAAGTTAAATAGCTTTCCTGGTAGCCCTTCCAAAAGGGTGATTGTGTTTGTATATTAATGAACGGTAAGTATTAATAAAAGTTTTAGTTATATTTAAAGGTCATTCTGCTTGTCTCTGTAAATGAAACTTTTTGCAATAGACTACTTATTATTACAACATAAGCCATATATTTTAACGTAACTTTTTCAAGGAAAAATTGCACAGAGGTTCTTGTATTAACTTTTTATTGTTAGTTTGCAAAATTGAAGCTTTTGAGACCATTATATTTATGAAGGAATTTATTCACTTTATCCAAAATAATTAAAAATATCCATTTAAATTGTCCTGGAAGCTGGGTTTGTTCTTTAAGATGTTTTAAGTCTCCTTGATTCCAAGTCAGTGAACTTGTTGGCTGATATTGAATGTGCATAGCAACTCTGTTCCTGGAATTTTAAAATGTGGAATCTGTGACAGACTCTTACCATTTTATAATCAGTTTTAGTACTTTTTTTTTTTTTTTTTTTTACTTTCAACTTGTTTGTTTGTCGCTCGGATAAGTAATTTGCATAATGTATCTGAGTTTACCTTTTTAAACTCCGCACTGACTATTCTCAGTTATTCACATACCTGTAAATCAAATCTGAAGAGTTAGCTTTATATAAAATAAACCCAGAAAATGACTCAGATATTTGAAGGAACATGGACTTTCACTTAGAAAAGAATTCATAAGGTTAAGTAAGTTTGAGAATTAGTCCTCAGACTGTTGTATTGAATACCAAGGTGGGCTTCTATGAACACATTATGGATACAGTTTTTTCAAAGTAGTTTACATTCATTTCTCCTATCATGCTATAAGCAAAAAAGTGGTTAACCTGATTTATTGAATACAATAGTGAGGAGAGATATTTGTTAGTAGACTGCATATTTTTATTTTTAGCAAATACATATATAAAATTATATTTGTGTTAGCTATTTAACTTGATTTATTGGTATCTTGAACAATATTAGCTAAGAAGAGATTCTCAAAATTACACTAGTTTTTTTTCATAGCTGGATTTGTCCATTTATGTCCCTCTGGACATCCAGAAATGAAACCATTGCCAAATTGGCTGACATGAACCGTTTACATATTTCTTTTTATAATGCTTTGTAGCCAAGAAACTGACCATGGAATTTTAAAGTATCTTGACCCTTTTAAAAAAGATCATTGGCAATTAACCAGTTTCTTCCATGAGTTAGAATCCCACTGAGAAGTTAAACAGGTCCAAAAATCTTATTGGACCTGAGAGTCAAGTTAGTTGTCATGTGTCCTATGAAAATAGTGTTAAGAAATTATCAAAGCCCTTATGTACTTGAAAGATGATATATCCTAGCATGTTTGTTTTTCTCTATAGGAAAATTTTAAGTTAGACCCAAAGTGCCACATATGGGTTAATCTTAGGTAAATTATTATGGAGTAAGAAATGTGTTTTATGTCTAAGGAGAAATTGGGATAAGGCAGGACTATTAGAGGGTGGGGTTGGAACTAGTTGTTTCTCAATTCACTAAAGTTATCTCTAAAAATAGAATTCCATTCTGAAAGAAATTCATTTCCTGAGATCAAAAATATGTTTGTGAATACTATAACCTTATATTAGTATAACTTTCAAAGTACTGACACCGCAGTTAACACTATAGTTGAAAGATTTTTAACATAGATCCCACAATTTAAAATAATCACATTTCATTCCGAAAAAAACTGAAAAGGCAGTGTTTCCAGTGACACAGTAACAAAAAAAGAATGTGCCTATTTTTAAATTTTGCTATAGCTGCTTTATATTGTAATTGTAACTATGTACAATTCTTTATTGATTCTTTGTCTTTTGAATTAGATTGCTACTGACAGAAAGGCAATTTCAATTATTTGATCCCATGAAATAATGAGTTCAAATATCAATCCTGTCAACATCATAGTCATGTCTTATTCTTAACAACCTGTTTTAAGTGGTGCTTCAGCGAATGGTGTCCTAGAAATTCACAGTTAAATGGACCTTTTGTGTGTATGGGGCGAGGAGGGGTGGGGAGAAGTGGAGGGTTGACAGAAAGAGAAGGATGTATCACTGAGTTTTAAAAGGATTGCATTCTTCTAAAGTTTGTTATTAAAGCTTACCTACTAACACACTGGAAAAGACAAGTCATACATTTCATGCAGATTAAATGTAAATACGTAGCAACTTTTGAATGTTGTTTTTGCTGGGGCTCTAGATGTTCTTGCGATTCCCTTTCATGAGTAACCTTAGGGAAAAAAGTCAACAGCGACTCGCTGCCATCAGGGCACAGTTTTCCAGTGGTATTGTCCTAAGTCAGGACTCATCCTACCACCACACTTGAGGCAGAGTTTCATCTTCAAGAACCTCCTTTCCACACCAGAGGCCCTTACAGCAGGCAGATAAGGCTGTTTTTCTTTTTCTTTCCATCTCTTTTCTTTTGATTCCCACTTGACCTTCAAATAATTAGGTTGACGTAAAAGTAGAGACATTTATAATGATGAAGTTTCTTAAATAGTATCTTATACATACTGCCACCCAACAGTAGTCCATCACAATGTACTCATTTTAATTTTTTAAAAAGTATGCTGTAACTTTTTAAAAAGGAACAAATTGGATGTGCTCTTGAATGCTTTTTTTGTTTGTTTTCAGGTGAGGCAGTAGGAAATAAAAGCTTTAAAATGGCATTATTTTTATGAGGTTTACAAAAAAAAGGAATTGAGAATTTAAGCATGGAAGTCTATGTTATTTATTAGAATTGAACAAGAGTGTTTTTTGTTGTTGTTGTTGTTGTTTTTTTGAGGGCTACCACTCCTCTGCATTGTACCAGGAAATTCTCTGAAATGTGGTCTATCTTTTGTACTTGATTAAAAGAGAGCAGATAGAGCAGGTAGATAATAATGGATTATATTTTAAAGTATTCTTTGAAATCGTATAAATACCTTTCATCTAAGGTCTACTTGCAAAATAATGTTTTTCAAGAGTAGAATTTGGATAGGTTGTAGCTTATAATATAGTTTTCCCAGAGGGCCATAATAAATGTTTATGAAATATAGCTAAGCTTTTCCAGTTCCATTTCTGAAAATGTGTAATTTCTTAGAGTTTATAATATAACTTGATTCCATTTGACCTGTGTATAAACTTGCAGTTAAGAAAATCATCACCATCATCATCATCATCATCTTCACCACCATCAAACCTCTGTAGAGAAAATAGTTGGCAAGAAACAGCTCTGAGCGATCCTTATGAGTTTTTCAGTCACTACAGGTCAATTTGGAGTTAGAAATTGAAGCCAGTTTTAGACTAAAAGACAACTAAAACTTACTGTTTTCTTTCTTTTAGAACATACAGGATATCTTGAGCGAGTCTGAATGATGTTTCTATGATGGGGAAGTAACCCCTTTATCTGCTTGGATATGTTTATACTTCTGCATTAATTAATGCTTACACACTGGAGCAATCATTTTAATGTTAAAAGCGGATGTGGTGTAAGCCCAGGCTTAGTGGCCTCATGATTATTTTATTCCATGGCCTGAAGCTTCATTTTAGCATTAAACAGAATACCACTGTGCAAAGGTTGATTTTCTTGTTTTAATTTTACTTAGAATTTTTCCTTTCTTCGGAGAAAGTTGTTTTTAACCCTCCGTTCAGAGTGAAATGCTACCAAGTTAGCAGCACTCTTAAAATCTTGGGATAGAGAAACTTTGAATAACAGGCAAAAAAAAAAAAGGCATTTTTCAAAATGCTTTTTCTCTCCCCTTCCCTCCTTCCTTCTTTTTTCTTTACCTCTTTCCTTCCTTGCTTTTTAGTTTTGTACATTTATGGATCTGTGGCACGTTCCCTACGAAGTAGGGAGAATAAATCTATGGAATTCATTTTTTTAAGCCTGTCACTTCTTTAAACGTGCACCTTCCTGGATCTGAACTGTATCGGAGATAGAGCGAGAAAGCAGTGTTTATACTGTAAGTTCAAGTTGACTAGCTTTCGCTCCGCAGAAGGGTGTGACATGAAAAGATTGTGGTTGGGCCGCATGGCTCATGCTGGACTGTGTTTTTGTGAATGGAGGCAGAACTCCAGCTCTGCCTGCTCGTCTGGAGGAATTGCTGAGGAGATCAGCTGTCTCATTCACGGGCAGAAAGAATGACTCATACATCTTCCGCCTTGTTTGGCTCCGGGTCATTGTTACAGTGGATAGAACTGGTTTTAATTAAAGATTAACCCCTTTGATACGTGAGGTTTGTTTCATTTGTAATTTTTCCACTTTTCTCTCTGGCTTTCAGAGAAACCCAACAGGCTCCTAGTTTGTAAGAAAAAGGTGTGGCTTTTTTTTTTCTTTTTTCTTTCTTTTTTTTTTTCTTCTGGTTTGTTTTTCCCTTGCCTGCAGCCAACCTTGGAAAATATGTAAATGCTCACCTTTTCTTAAGTAATGATTATTATTCCATTTGCAAGGTTAAACTATGCATAAAATAAAAGCAAACTAAAAACTGCCCTGCCCCCATCCTCCCTGGGGAAATGTTAAGAAAATATATTAAAATGAAGCATGAGGGTTAGTAATTCTGTGGCATCATGACTGTTTTCATCAGTTTCTTTATCATGATATATGTTGCTGTGTAGTAGAAGGAGAAAGAGAGAAGAGAGAAGAGAGACAGACAGACAAGACATATGCAACTTTGGATAATAATCTAGGTGAAGCCAATAGCAGGATGCAGATACCCTCCTTTGAAAGCAGAAGTCCTGAGACTTGATGGCAACTTATCTATTAACGTGCAATGATCCCATAGAGCCGCTCCAGCTATTACCAATAACATCCACATGCTTCATCTTCTTGAAAGCCTTTTATTGGTCTTTGGGCATATACTTCCCCCTTCTTTCCTCCTCTGCCCCTTCCTCTTTAATTATGGAGCCTGTGCAAACATTTTCATTCCTCGAAGGTGATTATTCCAAGCGTAGTTATCATCGATAGTTGGGAAAAAATACCCCTTCTTAAGATCTTTTTTCCTTTAGGTTGGCCTCTATTGTTAACTTTCCACTTTGGCATTAGTATGACATGTCACGAATTTTCAGGCAGCTCTATAGTGTGCTGCTTCACAGAATTCCCATGCATTGAGGGGAAGAAAGGAAATGTATTCTATGAGTGTGGCAATACTTTGTCATATTTTCCTTGTCCGGATCCAACTTGTGCTTTTCGTTAGCTGCTTTCCTTTTACTCTAACTTTATATGAGAGGTAGAGGTAAGTAAGCCTCTGTCTATTTAAGTGGCCTGCTGTTTCACTGGGCCCATTCAGTTTCCGAAGATCAGCTTCTGTGAAATATGTGAGTCATGTGTTTTTTGTTAAAATTCTGTAATATGTTCAAGCACAAGTGTGAAGTGTTTATTCAGCATGTTAAAGAGTTAGAGCAGAAATAGCAAGTTTCATTCTTTTTACAAATTACTAGTCTGCAGCTCTTTTCTGTAGACTACTAGTTTTCTTCTGCTCCTCAAGTTGTGCCATTTCTTTGCATACATTTCCCATCACACAGCTCACATTCATCAGAGATTTGTGCACCCTTTCTGGAAGTGATCCTTATCATGGAATTTCGACTTTCTCTTCTCATAGTAAAACAATAAATAAATAAAAAGTCTGGCCTTTAGGACATTCATGCCAGCATATTCAGTTACCAATATACTTTCGTTACTCAGGGGCTGTTTTTAACTAGTATTCCTGTAAAGCGATATTACATTTTTATTAGGTTCTTGTAAGTATTTGGCTTTTTTAACAGCATAATAATTGTTGTGGTTGATATTAATAATTTTTGTGTCTCAATAGTTATGTCTATTTAGCTGTTAATTGAAAAGGATAACCAAAACATGTGGATATGATTGGAAAAATATGTAGGATTTGATCCTGTCTACCTGCTGTTAGTTATTAAATAGATATTAAAAACATTCTTGTAATTTTTTTGGTGTGGAGGCTTATTTTAAAGGGCACTCTTGTCATTATAATTTGTGCATCTATAAGAAAACCCATGCTCCCTGCAACGCAAGAGAGATGTTTGTAGCTAAGAGCATGCCAAGGTACAAATTTCAGCTGTTAATTTTTTCCATGCCTAATGTAATTCATTAGAAGTCAAGATATTAAACCTGCCTTGTAATGATTGAAGCAGTTTTGTTGTTGAGGGGGGGGAAAATGAGTGGATGGTGGCAAGTTGAAAACAACATTTCTTGAGTAGCTGGCATTGTCTGGCATTTTATTCAGACTATTTCATTTAATCCTCACCAGAAATCTCTATTACCGATATGGAGCTGGTGAGTAAAAGGGAGTTCACTGAGGTTAAATGTTACACAGTTTACGTAGCCAGCAAGTCACAAAACCGTGATTTCAAGTTTGCATGACTTTTGTTAGTTAGATATCAGATAGTAATGGACTATGAATAGAATACCCTTCTTCAAACATAGACTGAAGAAACAGGCTTCCGTTCCTATCTGGAAAACGCCCTTACTTGGTTTGGTTTCGTTTTGTGGCCAAGAATGAGATTTGTCTTTAATAGGTTTAAATATTAGTGGCCAGAAGAATATTTTTATAAAATGGGTGTCAGACTCCGTATATTTTGATAATAGGCAAGATTACCATTGGTTCTGTTCTTAATATCATAAATTTTACTTAACCAAATAATCCTGTTTCTAAAAATACTATTAAATAAGCTGGTAAACAGAGCCTTTAATTATATGTATGTGGTAAACCTCTCTTATTAGGCTTTTTAAATATAGAATTTATTTTTCATGTTCAATTTTTTCTTAATTGAATTACCAAAACAAAACATTTCTCAACAGAATGATTACGTTAGTACTCATCCCCCATACAGAATAGGCTCTTAAAAAAAATCAGTTGACATTTGTTTAAATATGACTTGATTGAATAAAAAGGTTCACTATCACATACTATCAGTAAAGTAATACTAGCTAATACAACTGACATTAATTAGGATGATAGTTCATTAGATTTTTACCAAATTAAAAGTAACCTCACTTCTATTTTATGTGGTTATATATGTGTGAGTGTGCACATTAGTGTCATGTGAAAACTTGTTTTTGTAATATTCTGTCAATTTGGAGCAGGCTTTTTTGATGTCTCAGTCAACCATGATGAAAATATTATAGAAGTGAAAAGGTTTACTTGTGTTTTAATTGCTGCAAGTCCTTGCTATTCGGTAATTCTTCCCCTGCTAAAAATAGGGAAGTTGTTTGACATTAAAGACTGATGAAATAATGATGTTTCTTTGTGTTAATTCTAACTAGTAACAGGAAAATATTTTGCATGAAAAGATGGAGTTTGTTTGCATTGTTATAACCATAGTCATTGAATTATAACACTGTATAATGTAGGACCAAAATAGATGACAATAATTTAAGAAACTTGGTTGCATATTTTGGCCAAATTTGGGGCAAACATTTTTAATTGTGGTAGTCTAATTTGCAATAGATAGAACTTGCCAAAATCAGACAATTTCTAGAAAGCAGAATCCCTGAGAGATGTAATAACTGCACATTATTTGAAAGAATTATATGGTTACTTCAAATGGCTGCTTAAGCCCTGGCAGTGGGTAAATTGAAATACTCTTTATTCCAAAAGCATATATTTTATTCGCATAAAGAAACACTGCAGCTGATAGAAATGCTATGGCTTCTTTTACTTTATATATCTCTCTTATTTCCGTCTGGCAGGTGAGATTCAGAGGGACTGCCACCATTGTATTTCTGATAGACATGTTTTCTAGTTGACAACAATGTTGCTGCTGAAATTTCCCCTCTTCAGTATTGCTGCCAATCCCACTTTAAATAGAGGCTAATTGGCAAATAACCATAAATTTTATCCCAGCCTAAAAATATCTGGCATGGAAGATCTTACTTGACATTCCTTAAGTCTTGGCAGTTTTTCTCTTAATTATTATTTTTTTAATTTTCTTTTTTCCCTTCAGCTCAGGTACCTGACAATGATGAGCAGTTTGTGCCAGACTATCAGGCTGAAAGTTGTAAGTATAGTTTGACTCATCTCTTACATTTTTTCTCTGTCTTCCTTCCTTCTCCCATTCTTTCTCTTTGGTTTGTTTCCACTTCCAGTGTCTGTTCTTGCAGTGTGTCAATGCCTTTTTATCTCGCAGTCACAAGGTGATGTGATTTGTCACACTGTGGCATCAAGCAGAATCCCCCTGTGATTTGAGCAAAGCTCCAGATAGTAGCTCAGGAGAACTGATTGGATTTAAAGATAGCCCTATTCTCTGTGTTTGGTCGGTATCCTTGGAGAAGAAATGGGGAGATCCAGAACATACAAGTGTTTACTTCCAGTCTTTCAATATCTTCACAAAGACAAGTCTGGATGCTGATGGAAGACAGTCCATCATTAACATCCATGAGATTATTGTTATATAACTTATAGAAATGCCAGGCCCAGCATTCATTGGCTTACTGTAGTTTTTGCATTCATGAACGTTTACCTGCTTTGGTTGAATTTTAGCCTGACTGTCTGTTCCTGGTTGCAGCAACAGAAATGGGAGCGCCCAGTAGCCCCTCTTAGGGTCCCTTCAGTGTTTCTCTCGGGGAGTCTTGCTGGTCAGAGGCTGTGTGGGGAGGGATTCTTGGTTCCTCTCCCTCCTGTGACTGCAGAGTGAGCTTTTCACCTGTGCAAACATGGTTGCCTTGGGATTTACCTCTGATATTTATGCTTTGCCTTGACCTGAGGTGCAAACAGTAAAGAAAGGGGTATAAATGCCATCTTGCTTATGAACCTGACCTAATACATTGTTATTTTGTTAGCACCATGGAAAGCCCCAACCTCCTTCTTCCAGACCATTGACCTTTTCACAGTCAGGAGGCTGCATCATCCACAGGAACAACGTGTGCTTAATACCTTACAACCTATAAACCCATGTTTCCCCCACCGAATATCATAAATCTAACAGCAATACCCACGCTACTTCAAGTAACAGGTGTTTGCGAGCAATTGTTTTCAGCTTTTATGTTTGGTATCTTCACTGTCCCATGTGCCAAGATTCGTAAGAGGTTTCTTTCAGGTTCTCTCCCAGATTACGTTTTAGTTTAGCTTCACTGAAAATATTTTTCCTGTTGTGGTAAAGTCTATGTAACAGACAGTTTGCCATTTTAACCATTGTGCAGTGTGCTGTTCAGTGGCACTCCCATTGCGGTGCAAACATCATCACTATCCGTCTCCAGAACTTTCTCACCATCCCTTATAGAAACTCCATACTCACTAAAAAATAACTTCATAGAGAAAAGTCTGCCCTCAGCCCCTGGTAACTGCTGCTTTATCAGCTTGGTTTTTGATAGGAAAAGAGAATAGAGTTGCTTGATGTCTGAGTATAATTATTAGATATTCTATTTCAAGAAACCTATACAGCAATGTTGTAGACCTTAATTAGAGACTTTTAGAAACTCCCAGAAGGATGATAGCTGGATGATGGCTAAGCAAGGAAAGCCTCCCCTTCATTAAAGTGTGGGAAGAGAATGGTCATATTTCCAACATTTCCCTTCCTCTGGGGTTCTGTGTTTTTTTTTTTTGTTTGTTTGTTTGTTTTTGCTAAAAGATAAACGTGTCATCTGAGTGGGAGAATTCCTCTCATTGAGTCATTTTACATCTGAAAAATTGGTAATGATTCCAACACTATGCCAAATGCCAGGGTAAAATAACTACCCTAAAGTAAATTTTTTTTACTCCTTTTCTTAATTGATCTCTTTTTAGTTTTTCTTATTCTTCACCATTTGTCTCCTTGACATATCTTCTCTTGGTCACAGTGGCATGATTTTCCTTTGTCTTTATACGCCTTTGATTCCTCCCTCTCACTCCTCTCATCTTCTCGCTTTCTCTTTCCTGAGGTCTTGTCCCCAAACCTTTCCTCTTATCTTCCACAATCCCATAGAACGTTCCGTGATGAAGGGAAAAATCTGTATGTACCATTTGATATAGTAGTGGCTGATCACATTGGTTACTGAGCACATAACTGTGGCTACTGAAATGGATTTTTAAATTTAATTATTGTGACTTTATATAGACATGTAGCTATTGGCTACTGTGGTGGCTAGCACAGTTCTGTATAGCTAGGTCTCCAACATTCTGATCTCTAGCCGGGGTCTCCCCTCTACCTTGTCTACCAGACATCTTCCCTAAAACACCACTGGGCCCTTTTGCAATTAGAAAAATGCAGCCCCTCTGGACTCACCCCCTCAGCCCTCAGCTGATTGTCCTCTTTAAATGGCATTTACACGGCAACCCCAGTCTTCACTGTGATGGCCCACAGACAGTTGACGTTCTATAAGACCAGTGTTGACACCATTGTTTTTCTCTTTCACTCCTCTTGCCTTTCTAAGTTGATGGCATCATCACCCGAGTGGAAAAATGTTTGATTTATCCTCAGTCCTCCCAGTTCTTTACCATTAACTTCAAATTGCTTACCAAGTTGCCAGTTCTATCTTTTAAAATTACCTTGATTTCGTGGCTTTGTTCATCTCTCTTTACTTCCTTAGTTCACACCCAGTTTCTCAAAGGAACTGGTGAACCAGCCCTTTGATGGGCATCCTTGCCTTCAGTTTCCCCTCCGTTCAGTCCACTCCCTGCAGAGGCATCAACACACAGCCATCTGACCTTGCTACTTTCCCCCTGCAACTTCCTTCAGTACAAAGTCCTAATCCTTTAGCTGTCATGAACATCCTTCTTTAATCTAAACCCTGGACTACGGACTATTTTAGTTTAACTCCTGCCACCCCAGCACCTTGTCGCTCCCCATTCTCTGAGCTTGAGCCCTTTCAATCTTTCAGTTCTCCAGAGTGAGCTCTTGTATGTCTTTTTGCCTTTGTACATGCTCATTTTGCTTTAGCCATTTTTACTTTTGCTTTGCAGTCTACTTCCGACTTGGTTTAGACTTCATCTCATTGAAATCTTTCTTGACCACTTCTTTGCCATCTTTACCCTGCTGAGTTAGACTCTAACATCTTGTCTCTTGTGTTTGTTATATTATATTTTAGATACTTGTCTTTCTTCAATACGATTGTGAACTCTTCAGATCAGTAGTGTGTCGTAGTCATGCCTTTCTTTTTCTAAAAGCACAATAAGTAAAATTGTCATCATAATCACAATCAGCCTCTCCAAGGTATTTTCAAAATCCTAATTCCCTTCTTAAGGTAGAAACATATGACCATTCTTTAAAGCATTATATATATCGTTCTGGAAAAAACATGCTAAAACCATGAATGTTTAGCCAAACATTTTCAGAGTGCTGAAATTTTATTTTATTTCAATTAGTGGATATTTACAGTTTAACAAATATAGCTCTGGGACTGTGAATAAAACATCTCAATTTAATGGCAACTTATAAACAAAGGTAAAAAGAAATCTCAAATAGTTTAATAAAAAGAAAGTGGAGGTGTGTTTTATTTCAAGTTTTTGCTGACATAAAGGACTATTGTTCTGATGATGGTGAGCAGCAGTTTCAACCTTCATTCTGCACGGAACAAGAGGGAAATGGTTTAAAAAGAGGAATAGGGTATATGGATTAGATTCTAAGGAGGATTTCTGGATAGAGAAGGTTATCAAATATTGGAACTGAAAGCTTATATTGTCTCCTAAATGCCCTTCACAAATGTTTGATTCTTGTCTGGGAATGCTTAGTGGGGCAGAGGGATCCTGTCTCTAGGAATAGAAAGAAACTTCATCCCCGCTGTGCGGCCTGTCTATAAATTCTATGGGGCTATCTTTGCAAACCCGAATAATCAGATTTCCTTACATACCTCAATCAAATAAAATGCTTCTGTTTAGGCTTTTATTGCTTTAGCCCTTTGGTAAAATGTAGGTTAGGAGAATGAACTGCAAAATTCTGTTCAATACTGGATTAGAGAGCACCCATTTGACTTGAACATGGATAAATATGTGTAGCAAAGGAGAGAAGAGAGCATTTAGAAATTGTGAAAGTGAGATTAAGCCACAAGCGTTGAATACCCTCTAAAAACATTCCCAAGCATTCTTCATTTTCTATTGAAAAAAAAAATCAATTGGAAATCTAGAATTTAAGGATGTATGCTATAGCTTGCTAACCTTTGAAAGATGTGGACTTTTAAAGCACATACCGAGGCTTGAAAACAAGCAAACAAAAAACTCCCTATAAGTGTATCCTAGGATATGAGTGAAGGTTAAGAGAGACAGTAACGTGGCTGTGGCAAATAGTTCTTGACAAACAAAGCTTTTCAGAACTCAGACACGCTGCTGAAAAATAAAGAATTACTTCAGGATATGCTTTAGTCCAGAGGAAGTAAAGTTAAGTATTTGAACCTACAGGAGCATTGTTTTTCCTAAGTCGATACAGATTTATACACAAACTGATTTTTTTTTTTGTAAATCTTGTTTTAAATTTAATACATGAATAAGCTTACCTATTAAATGATATACTTCAAATTTAGTTATATCACTACTGTTTTTCAATTTCCCACCTCTCATTTCCTCATTACAAAGTTATGTGTTATGATTTTTCTAACTAGTTTGTGCCCATTTGTACTTTTCGATGTTGACGGTGCATCTCTCCAGAGCAGTCCCAGAGGTAGAACCAGGGTTTTGCAAAATACCCAGCAGGATAGATCCTTGTCACTTCTCTACTTTCTCTTAAAATCAAGATAGAACACGGGAAATGCAAGTCAATGAGAATGTCATTCAAGGAATCATAACCTTGACTCTGATATATTTATGAAATTAAATATTTAAAAAGTTGACAAATTTCTGTCCTTGAACTGAACTTTGTAATAAAATCCTAGTGACCCATCTGAAAATAATCGATACAAATCGGGGTGTGGGGGCTCACATGTTTAAAGCCACTATTACTCGGTGACACTTTGTCTAAGCAACTGTGTGTTATTTCTATGCCTTATTTTATTAGGCATTAAGTTGTACAAAAGAATAGTGTTTTGGGTCTTTTTTTTTGCAGTGAAGTGGGGGAAAATATGTCAGGTTATTGTTGCAAAAGCTGAAAATGAG